TTGATATTTCAAGCCTTTGTTCTGTGGCTTCTTGAGGATGAATTTATTAATTCATTCATTCTTTCATTAATCCAACAAATATTTATTGAGACTAAGAGGAGCCATAGGTTTTTCTAGGCACTGAGAATAAGACAGTAGACAAACCACTGCTCTCAAAGAGCTATGTTCTACTGATTTAATGTATACATCAGGAAGAACACAATTGTATTTTCAAAATATAGATAATTTTAATTGGCATTAGAGATTCCAATAAACATTTGTGATAATGTTTATCTTCTGCCAGAATCTTGTAAAAAAATCTTGTAAATGAATGTAGATGTATCCAAATAATGACTAATTTTTTCCATAAAACAAAATGATTAAGTTTTAAAGACAATGGGATTTGAATGAAATGGACAGCTATAGATCTTATATATAAAATCATTCTTGTAAGGATCTGATTTCAGAGATTCACAGCTCATATAAAGAGGAAATATAAGGGTGCCTAGGTGGCTCAGGTGGTTAAGCATCTGACTCTTGATTTTAGCTCAGGTCATGATCTCATGGTTGGTGAGTTTGAGCCCTACATTGGGCTCTGTGCTGGTGGCGCTGAACCTGCTTGGGATTTTCTCTCCCTCTCTCTCTCTGCCTCTCCCTGCCTCTCTCTCTCTCAAAATAAATAAACTTAATTTTTTTTTTAAAAAGAAGAAATATAGATCTTAATTTGTCTCAAGAAGAAAAAAGATTAAAGCAAAACAAATCCTGTCAATATTGTCAAAATACTGATATCTCAGAATTAAGAAAAGTAGGTGTTTGCGGACACTGGCTTGGCCTTTGAAAGCAGTTGTTCATTTCCCTTTGGAGCAAATGATACCAAGCATAGTATGTATTGATGATCATGTAAAAATGAGACTTTCTTGATTGGAGTGGCATTCTTCATTGGAGTGACAATGTGGAAGAAGGAAAAAAATCCTTTCTTACATCCTTCTTCATATATGGGTGTATCTGAATTTATTATGGTTCAATTACTCTGTCTCATATTTACAAGTTTTGAGGAAAAATTTCCACTATATTTCTAAATTGTAACTCTTTATACAATCATTAGAATGTGTAAAACTCAGTGTGTAGTTGTACCAGAATTATAGATTAAGTAATCATTTGCTTTGTGTCTGTAGAGAAAAACCTACGAAACACCCTTACTCATTTTAAGCCCTTATCATAGACTTAAAATGCCTCAATCTCAGAGAATCACAGTGTAATTTTAAAAATCTTACTTAGCAATCTCCTTTATTAGTCAAGTAACTTCAAAGAAATTCTTTGCCATATACCTACTGATCCCTACATCTACAAAATTCAGGAATACACATAGAAATTGAGAAAGAAATTGTTTAAACTTTTATTTTAGAATTTTTAGTCCCAAATTAAAAGTATTAAAATGCAAAATCAAAACAATGAATTAAATGTTTATTGAAAATATTTAAATTAAGGTTAGGTCTATACAATTGTGATGTGACTATGTGCTTCAGGGGGTTTGATTAGCTATGGTTTATGAGGTCTGCCTTTTAAGCAACATACTTTCCTAAAACCTCATAAGCATTTGGATATGGGGCAGCAATTAAAGACTGACCAGAAATGAACCCAAATGCAGTTCCAAAACTATTATGTGTATTAGTCATGGTATATCTGAAAAATAACATTTTTGGCTGATATATTGTTTTGTATGTTCCCTAAGTATTAAATCATATTGTGCATGAAGATGAATTTACTTGGTGACATGTCTATTGGGGGTGGGGGTGGGGGTCAGAGGTAAAGAGAGGGCAAACATTTGATTCTCTAAAAATTACACATGATGAACTTTCCAGTGTGCTAGTAATGCTGACATCAATAATGTCTCTAATAAACTATTTCAAAAAAGTAAATTAATTGGTGTTGGCAGATGCAGTCTAATTCTTTTTTTTTTTTTAATTTTTTTTTCAACGTTTTTTATTTATTTTTGGGACAGAGAGAGAGCATGAACAGGGGAGGGGCAGAGAGAGAGGGAGACACAGAATTGGAAACAGGCTCCAAGCTCTGAGCCATCAGCCCAGAGCCTGACGCGGGGCTCGAACTCACGGACCGCGAGATCGTGACCTGGCTGAAGTCGGACGCTTAACCGACTGCGCCACCCAGGCGCCCCATGCAGTCTAATTCTTCACAAATCTTATGAAAATATGGGATTAGTCAACTTGATTGGTAGATCCTTAATGCCAATAACACTGCTGATGCTTCTGCTACTGCTGTTACAGTAAAGAGGATGGTGGAGCCCGCTCTTTATTGGCACTTAAAACACTGGTAGGAGAATATATTATTTATATGTGTGATTCATAAGTTCTTTAATGTAGAATGACTTTAATTGGGATTACCAGAATTTCTCCCCCTCTACTCCTATGGGAAGGAATCTAAAAATATACACAATCTGGAAGCCTGTAATTGTCACTTCACCCTTTGAATAACTGACACCATATGAGCAGTGCTGATTAACATTCAAAGTAAATAACCACTGTGCCAGTCAATGTAGATGCCCTCCTACCAATAATGTGTTTCCTATTCAACAAACAGTGAGTAGAAGGGTCACCTACTGGAAGTGTTTTTATTTAGAGACCTAGAATAAAGGGCACAGGTGCTAAGTTATAAGAAAATCGACTATAAAGAATAATGTGAAGCTGAGTGGCTAATATAAAGATTCAGTAGGTAATATTTGAATCCATTTTGCAGATATCTATTGGTATTGGGAGTTTATTTGTGGATTAAAGTATTTCATTTCTAATTGTACAGATTTACAAATGGAAAATGTAAAGTAATCTTGTGCATCTTTAGATCTCATACAACCTTACAGAATGTCTTCTTTAGTGGTAGCCACTCAAAATATATTCATATATTAAATCAAATACTCCATCTGAATAGCATATATTTTCTCTTTACAGAAGAAAAATATCCATGAAATTGTTTTAGACTCATTTTTCCCCAATTTTTCTTTCCAAGGGAAAGGCCAAAAGGAATAGGAACTACGACTACCTCTTGTGGGTTTAGGACACGCTCAACACCCTTTCTGCAATTCATATACTGTGTTTTACCTTAAATTTTTATGGTTGTATATTTAGAAAGATTTATAAGCTAGTAATTGGTTTCCGACTGCACAGTTTTCCTCATTACCAGCCAATCTGAGAACCAGGAGACCACTTCTTGGTGTATGATCACAAACAGATGATCACAGCATCAACCGTTAAATGACCAAATTACAGGTATTTAAATTTAAATACTTTAATTTCTTCTTGGAGTCTTATCTTTAGAGAGTCGATCGCTAAAGATGTTTCAGAAGAGTTTATCCAATATCAACACAGAGGACTTTTAAGGTCACACTATTTTGGGTATTTATCTCATGCTTAGCAACCATACACGTGACACACATATACACTGTGTTCACCCAGTTCCTTCCACTAACAGTTGTTTGATACACTCGTTGGAATTCAACACCTACTGAATAAGTGAAAAAAGACTGTTTTATTTGTATATGCACAAAACGTCTAAGTGTCCAGCATGGGGACAGCACCAATCATGTACCCTTCCGCTCCAGGGTTCAAGTAGCAGCATCTCTTAGGTTCTGCCAACCGCAGACAGAAAAGAAGCCTCTCTTGGTTCCGGTTGCCACGATCAGAGAATTTGAAAACCCTGCAGATAGTCCATTTAAATACTGGTAGGGAAAAGCTAAACCACATCTATTCCCACCTCCCCTTCCTCTCCCTTTTCTTTGGTGGTGGTGGTGGCTGGGAGAGATTCACTCAGTGCGCCCTCCTGGCCCCCTTCCCCAGCCCGCAGAGCTGTGGGCAGTCGCGCTCCGCTTGAGTTCAGCGGTCCAGCTCTCACCTGTTGCCCTGGCTGCCCTCAAGCCACGAAGCCCCGCCACGAGGACAAAAATGACAGAAAGCAAAGGGGAAGAAACAAGACCTACAGAAGAGATGGCGATCTTCCAGCCCGTTGCCGAAAATCCCGAAAGCAGTGCTTGTTGGTCGCCCAAAGCCACAAGTGACCGTCACAAGGGACTCTCGAAATCACGCGGCCCGCAACTCTGGAGTCCCTCTCGCTCGTGTGAACGGACAACAGGCTACACTAACCAAGCACTGCGCAGGTGGTTAAAACCGTTTCCCCAGGAGTGACCAAACACTAGTTCTGATACGGTTCCCCTCAACCCTCCGAGAAAAACCTGTCACCTGAGGCTTCTTTCCACTTCCAGATTTCTGACGGTCGGTGTCCTTCTCCATCTCACCCCATTTCTTCCAAGTTTCGTGAAGGGAGAGGGAGGATGCCCGTGCGTTGGGGTGTGCATGACAGCATGTGTGTAGAAAGAATTTCTAATCTTTTCTCTTTCCTCCACTTTATATGTGACCCGAGCCTTGGTTGTCGCCTCAAAAAAGAATCCCTGTTTTGCCAACGCTGTCACGAAACCCTCCAAAATCACATTTAATAAGGGGTTCGGACACTGTCAAAGGCTCGACAGGTTGTAGCCGCGAGTTACACACACACCCCCTCCCCCGCCCCCGGAGCCTTTCCGCTCCCGGAGGCCAAGGCAACCCTATTTGCAAGGTGGTTTTTGCCCCTTCCCCAAGCTCGCGAGCCGCGACACGAGAGAGGGCAGCTGGGGTCCCGCCGGCGAGCGGCTCTCGCAGGCAGCGCTGGGTAACAGGCTGCGCGCCGCCGCCCTCGCTCGCCTCGCCTCGCCTCGCCACCCCGGAAGGGAGCCCGCAGGCGTGGGAGAGCGGCGGCGAGCGAGGGACGGCGCGGCGGGCTCGGAGCACGCCGGGGAGGTGGAAGAAGCCGGGCAGGCGGAGTCGAGCCGACAAAACCCGAAGAACCCACGCTCCAGGTGTCCGGGAGCTGAGCGGAAAGAGGAGCGAGGTAGGAAGGCGCGGCGTCCCACAGGCGCCCTGGCGCCGCGCGGGGTCCCGGCGGAGCGCGCGGACACGAGGGGGGCCCTCCCCGGTTACCTGTGCTGCTTCCGCCCTGGCTGCCCCTGTCCCGGGGGAAGATGCCCGAGCACTTTTCCCACTCCACCTGGCCCGCGAAGCACAGCTCGGTGACGATGTGCAGCGCCTTCTGGCACAGGCTGCTCACTCCGTCCTCCTTGTGGAAACTCATGGTTGGCCTCTTTTTCCCCAGTCGGCCGGCCGAATTTCCCCTTCCCGGTACCTCTGGGCTGGCCCCTCTGGCGCCCTAAGCCATCGCCCGCTCGTGGGGAAATGGGCGGGAGAGCGCGCTGCTCCCAGCGGCAACTCTTAGGAGCCGCAGGTTGGCCCCATGGCGCGAGAGGGGGGCGCAGGGGAAGGCGGAGAGGCTGGGGCTGGAAGCGCGCGAGGCGGCGGCGGTTAGGTTTGCGCCAAGTCTCCTGCGGTGGGAGCCAGCCAGACGCGGCGAGCTGGAGAGAGAGACCCGGCATGGAGTGCGGAGAGGAAGGGTAGGGGGTTGGGGAGACGTGAAAAAGCCAAAGCCCTCGACTCGCTAGAACTCCCCCCCGCCTCCTCCCAGCGCTTTAGTGTTTGGGCTGGTGGCTGGCGGCGGCGCGTCCAATCGCAGCCCGGCGCGGGCCGGCCGACCGGTTGAGGCACCCGCAGCGCCCCCTCCGCGCTCAGTCAGGGGCCCGAGGTGGCCTTGCAAGAGGCGCGACTCCTCGTCCCTGCCGGGACCCCAGCTTGGGCTGCAGGTGCACGATGCAGCGGGGCGGGGGATAGAGAAATCTTCGTTTTCTCCGTACTTTTTTCCCAGCCTTCGTCCGCCCCTCAGCTTCCTGTCTCTCCAACTTTACTGCATGTGTGTGGCTCTCCGTGGTCTGTCTAGTTTTACTTTTCTGAAAAGTCGTTACAACTGAAGATAAACGGAAAAAGTTAAATTTTAAAAATGAATAGGCGAATAATCAAGTCAGATGTCTACAGAGAAAGAGAAGTGTGCCTGGAAAGCACGTTTAAAATGATTTCTAACGATGATGGTTTAGAGACAAAATTTAATTCCAGAGTTCTTTTTATTGCCATTACTGAAATTCACCGTAAGATACATTTCCTATCTATCCAATTCAGTTTTTCTTGATGCATAAATACTATGAATAGGCAGATTTTAATTTATTGCCTTTGACTTTGTTTTCTAATTCTCTTACGTATTTCACAAAACGAAATCTTATTTGTATTAATATTCACTGTCGATTAATCCGTAATTGGCAGTTAAGAATGCACAACTTGTCTTATCACTTCTGCACTGGAATACCGAAAACAGCAACAAGACGACCTGGGTTTAAAGGGGAGAAGGGTTAAATTCATATCTGTCACACACACCTGTGCTTAACCTTGAAGAAATTGCTTTTAGATCCTTCTTTCCATCTGTAAAATGAAGCCTTGGGACTCTTCTGTTGCAACACTTCTCTAAGGCAAACGGGCTTACTCATGGAGCTACAACTACAAAATAGTGTTAATAAGTATGGGCCACACAGTTATAGTAAATGGGTTCACATTTACTATAAATGGGTTTCATTGTTTTTAAATTGTTTTGGGGCAGAGTTTGATACTCGCTTATAACCTGAAGATTGATTTAACCTTTATTAGATGAGGATCCTTTATTTTCAAAGTGGAATATCCTGACGTTGTGGGCATATTTATATAGACAGTTTATGATAAATCATTTCCTGTGTAAGGACACTGTGGTAAACTTACTATAAATACTCGGCATAGAATCACAGTAGATAAGCATTCATTAGTTGAATCATTTTGACCTGATTCATAGGACAATTGGTGTAACTAGGAGTATTTTTATCGTGAATCAAGACAAACTAAAATCTGAAGGTTTCATTTGCTTTTTGTTTTTATGCACATTGCTTTGAATGGTTTTTAGATAAAATTGATTATTTCAAAATAATTTCACTGTCAAAACATATTGAATATCTACTGTATGTTTGGAGCAATGTAAACACACTTTAATAAGGCCCTTTCCAGCTGTCCTTGCCTGCCAGTCCTCCACAGTCTAGACACCCTCCTGTAGAACAACCTGCAATGCAATGCTGTGCTTTCATATTTACTGTATGAGCAAACTGTTATGTGGGAGTCCAAATGAGTAATTCAGCTCTATACTACCTAGATTCTAATTGCTTAAGTGGAGTAATGCAGATCTCTCTCATGACCCTCTTCTGTTTGATTTCAGTGCTCAATATTATTAGGTAAACAGATTCTGAAAATAACTTTCCCCGTATTTGTTTATCCTGTTCCTGGCCTCTTGCTTACTCTTCCCCGTGTTTCCACAATAAGCAGTTCACCTGTATGTTCATTTTTCTGAATATTTGTCTGAAATATTTTTGCTTTCATCTAAATCTCCTAAGGTTTTGCTTTTTTTCCTTGATCTTTAGACCATCTCTACAGCTCATTAGCAGATGAATCAAACCAGTTTTTCTTGTCACTTATTAACAGCTCCTGTAAGAGGTGTGGGGAATGTAGAAACTGCATTCAAGGTCATTATTTTCAATGCTGAAGGATGAGATGACAAGAATTTCAATTCACAATCTTTAAAAATTTTTTGCCAACTATTTGAACTAACAAGAGCCTACCCATCAAGTAAACCAAGCAATACAGATTTGCATTTACTTCCCCACCCACACTCCGAAGGAGTTGCTGAACAGTAAAGGAGGGGAGAGCAGGTGAGATTGATTTTACTAAGCACCAGTTGCTATACTAAGTGATATATGAGGCATTAATAGTCCAAAAATACAGGCAGGTCTCTGACACAGCTTCCTTCTGAATGATCCCTGCATTAAGACAAGGAGGAATTGGTGTAGAGGTGAACAGGCCCCCAGCGCTCCCATCCGTATAAGCTAAGCCATCCTCTTTCAGGGGTAATTCTGAAGGGTCAATACTGTGATTTCCCTGCTTATTCAATCCTTTTCCATTTCTTTCTTCTCTCCCTCCCTATGGCTCTTTCAAAATATGGAGGGGAGGGAGTTATCTTCTCAGGTAGAGATCTCCCTAAAGTAAGGGGAATCTGGGAATCATTCCTGTGACTAGAATTTCAAATACTACTTGATCTCCATGACAGGCACTAAGAAGGTGGGTAAATGAGGAAATCTCAGAACAGCTGAGCTCAGTCTGAATGACGATGAGAGATGAGTAACTTACTTAAAGCTCCCCTACCTTACTTTTCTGTGTTCTACAGCTCAGATTCCTATGAGCCCAATTCTCATCACCTGTACATACTTGGGCCTGCTCCTGTATTCCTTAAGTTGAAGAGTGACATCACCACTCACTCTCAACTGGAAAGATGACCCCAAACTTCTCATTTGCATGGATGCATATTGCTACTGAGAAGTCTATTTCTGTTCTGACTCCAGATCCTTTGATTAGCCTGATTCATCTCTCTCTGGAAGGTTTGGTGTCTTCTCAATCGGCTGTGCTCACTTTTGTTCATTCATCCTGATGGATACTCACTCAGCACTTCAAACAGACTCACTTTTGAATCCTGCAATTTTGAGAAATTGTATTGATTTATTTCTTTTCTTCCTTCTGTTTTTCTGTGTAGTCCCTCCCTGGAACTCTTTTATGTTGAATTTTTGGCCGCCAAGATTGAATCTCTAATTTTCATTTCTCTTCAGTTTTGCATCTCTACCACCTCCTACTCCTTGTGCTCTAATTTTTGGGAGATTTCCTAGGCTTTCTCTTCTGAGCCTTCTATCAAATCACAATTTCAACTGTTATAGTTTTAAGATATGCATAGTTTTTTGCTTAGTAGTTGTTCTTGTTTCTTATTTCATGCATACTATAATCTGTTCTTATTTTTCTGACTGTATTATATATTTTTTAACTCCCCCACCTGTGCTTCTGTCTTGTATCTTTTTTCTCTGAATAACTTGTTTTGTTGTTGTCATTTCTCATGTTGTAAGATTTCTCAGATGTTTGCTCATCCAAATAATCAAATATAATACCAGTAAGATATGGAGTTGAAGCTCTAGGTATATTAGTAAGGTTTAAAAACAGGGTGTTCACTGCAGGGTGATTCAAGTTATTTTGAATTGGAGCACCCCCCAAATATCAGAGAGGGCTATCTAATCTTTTACTAGGGATGTGGGGCAATATTTAAAGGCTACCTACTTTTCTTTTCTTTTTTTTAAATTTTTAATGTTTATTTATTTTTGAGAGAGAAACAGAGTGTGAATGTGGGAAGGGTAGAGAGAGAGGGAGACACAGAATCCGAAACAGGCTCCAGGCTCTGCAGCTGTCAGCACAGAGCCTGATGTGGGGCTCAAACTCACAGACTGTGAGATCATGACCTGAGCCAAAGTTGGACCCTTAGCTAACTGAGCCACCCAGGTGCCCCAGCCTGCTTTTATTTTCCAATCTGGGCCTCTCATGGTTCTGTCTTCTTATACTTCTGGTGCCTTAGGTCTGGAGACTTTCCTTTGCTATCTCCAGGGGAAAACTATTTGCAAGTTTGGGGAAGGGTAATCACCAGACCACAGGAGTTGTGTGGATGGAGACTTGAGCCTTGAGACATCTTAAGGGTGACACTCCTAGGGTACCTGGGTCGCTCAGTTCATTAAGCATCTGACTTCGGCTCAGGTCATGATCTCATGGTTCGTGGGTTTGAGCCCCACATTGGACTCTGTGCTGACAGCTCAGAGCCTGGAGCCTGCTTCGGATTCTGTGTCTCCCTCTCTCTCTGCCCCTCCCCTGCTTGTTCTCTCTCTTTCTCTCTCTGTCTCTGCCTCTCTCTCTCTCTGTGTGTGTCTCTCTCCATCAAAAATAAATAAATAAACATTAAAAAAAAGTGTGACAGTCCTCCTTTTTTAGTCTTTCTCCCTAATGCCATCTTCTGTGGAATCAGTACAAGATAACTCCGTTTCTGAGTTTTTCTGAGACTCTGTGAGGTGAGAAGCCAGCTCCTCATTGCTATCTGCCTCTGGAGGTCTCAGCTCCCTCTGCTCAGTAAGGCAGTTACTACTCCTTCCCTGCTTCCATCTGGTGAACGGTTTGACATCTTCTGTCCTTGTGTCATCTCCTGTGTCCTTTCCTATTCTGTCCTTTTACACTTCTAGCTTTTTTTTGCTTTATTATCATTTCAGTGTCTTTTCAGGAGTGGCAGGAAACATGTACATTTTCAATCCATCATGTGTAACTGTTTGAAGGTTGTCTTCAATTTTTTTTGTTTTTATATTGAGAGAGAGAAAGAGAGAGAGAGGAAGGGCAGAGAGAGAGGGACAGAGAGAATCCTAAGCAGGTTCCATGCCATCAGCACAGAGCCCAGCACGGGATTCAATCCCACAAACTGTGAGATTATTACCTGAGCTGCAATCAAGAGTCTGACACTTAACTGACTGCGCCACCCAGGCGTCTCCATCATGTGTAACTGTTTAAAAAGGCAATTCTGATTGTGTCCCTTCCAGTGCTTTCCCCTTGTGCTTTAGATACATTGAATACCTTGAATGTGGCCTATAGACTCTATGTGGCCTGGCCTCTGCC